ATTGCTAACAGCAAAAGCTTTGGAGTTATTCTTGCAAGATCTTTGTGACAGGACGTATGAAATTACTCTTCAAAGGGGAGCCAAGACATTGAATTCTTCACACTTGTAAGGAAATCTATAGTTACTTACTCCTTCTTTGGTTAACTTGCAGTGGCATAATTTGAATTCCGCTGAATTGTTACTACCATTATATTTATGGAACAAATATCATATTGTTTGTAATGTGGCCACTGTTTGAATAGGATGATACATTTCGACAAAGGAAATTGGTAGGAAAATATTGTAATTTTGTACCTGGTTTAGTTGCATCTTCTAATGTTTGGTTGCATTCTTGTTTGAACTTCTGATACCAAATATGATGATCCTTTTTGGATTCATGAATATGCCTAAATTTCTTGAAAATTTTAGTGTGACTAATGCCTTCTGTCTGACATGTTATTATGTAAAGCCAAGTTTTTTCATCCATGTTAGCGTGTTATCTTGCATGAGCATTTGTGCCAACAACAATCCTATTCATGGCTGACTTTTGAATACCGGAAGGACCGGTGTGTACCAGTACGTGGACCATCCCCTACCATCCGGTCCAGTTTGGAGAAGACTTACCACCAAATTAGGGTCAACATCTGGGCTCACTGTCCAGTTTCAGAGGACCACTTGGTTTGGGTCAAAATTCAGACTTATTATCCCTTTTTAAAGTACCATCTTGTACTTATATCATTTTTTTGATAGTGACTTCTGTCCTTCTGTTTTATTTCTTCCATGCTTCTCACTCTTCCAACCTCTCGCGCCATGCCTCCTGCTGCCTCGCAGCCACTGTCAGCTGCCTTCCTGCTGCCACTTCTTCTGCCTTCTTGTCTGCCACTGCCTCCTCCTCTTCCTCCTCCTCCTCGCCTCTTCTCTCCTTTTATCTTTGATCTGTGCTGATCAGTAATGCTGACATACCATGCATCGGTATGCTGGTATGTATTGGACATATATTGGTTCAAATAGGGACTGTATGGGGTCCGACATCATTATTTGATACCTTCATCCTATCTAGATTTGGCATTATGGAAGGTCGTGATTTGGTATAATCAGCAGCAACTTTCTTGCTGTTTGAAGATTTCAATAAGCTTTTGGTCTGCTTTATAGCACAACCACTGTGCGGTTCTTCTGTCTCTAGTTTCCCTTTCATATACTTTGCACATTTTTTTAAAAAATTCTAGAGATGCTTATAACACATTTAATCTTTTACCCTGTCTTTGTTTTTCCTGTTCTTTATGGTAGAACCTAGTTAATTAGATCTGCATGAATCAGTTCAGTGAAATTTAAATTTGATTTATTGTTTTGAGTCTCGAAAAATAAAATTCCCATGGTAATGTTGCTTTTTCTCATGTTATGCTCTCTTATACACTATCATTTCCAAGTGCCTAGTAAACTATCAAGGATTTCTTGGTGTAATGAGTTGGATTCAGCATGGCTATTTAAGTTACTTTATGAAATAAGTTGAACCTCTGCTGTGAAAACAAAAATATATCATCACAACATTAAGTAATTGGCAATTGAGGAGGGAGCTATAATCCAGTTAAAATATCATTATCTAAAGCTCATCAATCACCACTTCTGGGTTGACATGACTCTTAAAGCATATAGGACAAAAGAAATGTTAACTTGCCTTCAAGATAGAGTTGTAATTAAGAAATAAGATGAATATTAGTGGCATGCTCATCCAATCATGATGTCATCATGCAACATAACTTGCCAAGGAAGTGCGCTTTCTGCATCCAAGGAGTCTGATACTTGTGTCTTCTTTGGTGTCCTAAGTTTTCTTAGACATACTTCGAGTTCACTGCTTCAGAAGTTATCACTGCAGCAATGTCAGAGTGGCGTGAGAAAACAACTAACAAAAAATAAACTTATCAAATCCTGGATTGCATTTTATGGCAAACCTCACAGCCATTTCGTGAGATTCAACCTGGAGTATAGATTTATCTCTAGGAGCTTTTAGCTATGAAAGCTGTAATCGCATAACCAGAATGTCAGATGTTTCCTTCTTGCTAACATGCTATTTTGAGTTTAGTTATAAGAGCTTTGATTGATGTTATCCATCTATGCCATGACAACATCAAGCGATAGCCCCAGTTAAGTAAAGTCAAGTAAATGAGTTGGTCGCAAGGTGCAACTAACTTTTGGAGCATGGTTGATCAGGAAGGAAATTTGATTCTCAATTTTTTTGGGATATCAGCTATATGATATCCGTCTTCGAATCAATTTTCATCGCCAGTGTTGATTCTGATCCCACATGCTTTTTTCCATCAGTGTGATAACATCTTTGGTCTCCATCTCCAAAGTGCCATTAATTTCCTGTTTCCTTGTGGCATCTCAATACTTGAACTCAATTTTCTGATGTACAACAACATATCCCTTCAACTGATAAATGATTTTTCTTTATCTTACCTTCTAATCACTTCATATAGTACATTTTTCCTTTTTCTTGTGTGTAAATTTCAACTTAATTCTGCAATTTTGTTCATTCATGTTCTTCTCATGATGTTGCTACTTCCCTAGGATGATGTTTGATTGACAAGATAAATAAAGTGGGAGAAGTGTAGTGCAAGTGTATGATTGCAGATCGTCACCAAATGAGTCTTTTCAAGAATATTGCAAAGAAGCACACTCATAAAAATGGGTCTTAATATCTGGGTAGATATGGGGAGCTCTATAGATAATGGTAGTTTTCAGTGCCTGGGAATTATCCCATGGAGTTCAGCTGAGATTGGCAACTACAGTAGCATTTAGTTGGGTTGAAAAGAGCTACTTTACATGCTATGACATCATAGTTGTTGTAGTTTCCGCTTTGCGGTCAATTGGTATCATCTCTATGTAGCTATGAAATGTGTATGACATCCTTCTCTTGCATGATGTGCTTAAGCATTTTTTACATGGAGGACTTCCAGGAGAATTGGACTTGAATTTTGAAGATTAGACATCATAAACTTTGATCTTACATCTTGTCCAACTTTTCTTTAGAATGTGGAAACTTTTGCTGTTTTCAGAAGTCCGAATTGTGTCTGCAAGTCTAAAAATGATCGTGTAATATCTGCATGTGAAATTCCATGTATGCCCGTTGCAGTTAAGGTTGTCTGTTGAGAAACATTATGTGGTCAGTAACTATTGAATTTGATTCAATATGAGGTGTGGTAAAACAGGAGGAAGACCAAAAACAAAATGGTTAAAAACAGTGATGGATTTGAGTCATTTGACATCTTTCTGTTCAAATGATGTGGTCTCTAATAGAGTTTGATATCGGTTGATTATTCATTTAGACAACCCAGATAGTTGTGTGATTCCATTGGGGTAACTAATACTAATACAAGATACATATAGTCATTATTTGAATAACCTGGTAATACTTGTTTAAGAAACAGTAGAAAAATATATACTAAAAAATGAGTCTTTTATCATTTGTAGCATTTCTTCATTTGTTGTTTTCAGTTACTACATTGCTTTTTTATATGTTATTAATTTATATTTGATGTTCCGGACTGATTTTATTTTTTGCGAATTCTTAGATTCTGTCTTTTACTTTATGCCAGAATTTAAACAAGTTTGTGGCTGATAATACCAGCAAAAATCATTAACAATAGTTTGTTATTGTTTTTTCTGAGCTTTCCAGAAAACAATGTGTGAAGGCTTATAATGCGTACGATTTCTTAACCGGTGTTGTCAACAAGGTACCAAACCTTGGTGGCATGGAACCTTGTGAAGATGAAAAAGGAATCTGTCGCAGAAGGTAATTTCTTCATTGTTTTCATTTTCGATATCAATTTGTATTAATGATGAAGCACTAACTGCTATGGCAAATGCGCAGGAAGACATTACCACATGCTGGTGAAGTTGAGAGCAATGAGGAGCTCCATTTGAGGTCCTCCAAGATGGTAGTGTACTAGCATTTACTTGATCTTTTGTGCATAGTCGAATAGTTATGTTCCTTCTTTCCAGTAGCTGACTATATTTGGTGACAGCCTATGAGGAACTCTAATGTCAGTCCTAGAGGACGTGGAAGAGGACGTGGAAGAGGTAGAGGACGACCACCTACGAAGGCAAGAGATGCAAGGTACATAAAATATGAGGACGACGACATCACGTTTGGTGAACATGATGAGGAGGTCCCTTTGGGGCAGCCAGGGCAGCCTGAAGGAGCCGAAAAGGAGAACACTAATCAAACTGTGGATCCTTCATCGATGTCACTCGTAAGTGGAGCTGCGACAACAGCCAACGAGACTAAGCTAGAGAAGTGTTCAGCATGGCCTCTTCCTGATGGAGTGGGCGACATTGGCTTTGAGCCATCAAGACTTGTACAATTAAACATGCAGGTAGACGAAGACGAGGATTATGACAATGAAGATTAGATAATTTGATTTATCGAGTTGCTACTAACGAAGCCATCTTGTTTTGTATATAATTTTGCATGGTGACACTGCACATTTAGCATAAAATTTTGCTTTTTCCTTTTGAGTGGTGGTCTTGTTGAACTTCATCAGACGAGAGGAGTGTCTCGTGGTTCTCGTCTCGCGGGTACATGACGGCTGATATGTACCGATATCTGATCAAGTATTGATATTGAAACATATACACTTGATGCTAGTACAATGTTATTATTATTTTTTTATTTTTCAGCATATCAATATTGTATCAACCTGATTTCGTAGATCAAGTTATCAAAATTAGTATCGGATGATAGCATTTCTTTCCATCACTAGGCTTGTTGTCATGAGGAAGGCACTCGACTAGTATTAGTGTTTGCCTACTGTGTGATGGATTTCCAACAGTTGATAAATTATGTTTCTAATTAAATTTCCAGTTTATTTACCTTGTAAAAGAGCAGGGATGAAAGTGAGCATGATCCTGAGTAGGTATTCTTTGACAATGGTTTTATGCAGTTGAAATATTGTGGCAGATGTGTACAAATCCACTTAGATAAAACTCATTAAGAATCCATAAAATCTCAGATCAGGCAATTAAAACATGAAAGATCAGAACCTCCTTACATTTTATTCATCAGGATCATGATACAATATCACCCTGCAGGTGATGTTCTTTTAACAGAAGGGAGTTGGACAGAGCTGAGGTCCCCTGGGTAGGGTTTCCATAGCCCTAGACCTCCCCTGGTCTCTCTGAGTCCAGTCTTGTTCCCCTTGAACTCATCTAGGGATTTAACCCACTCAACAACAGAAGAATGTTCCCTGGTGTGGCTATGCAATATGAACAAGGAATTGTATTCACAGTTGGGGAACATGAGAAACTTGAACTCCTCTCCTAGTCTGTGCACCACATAGCCAAAACTAAGCTGATCCCTCGGCGTGAAAAGATTGACCTCGTTGAACCAAAGGCAGCTGAATAAGTTGGTCATCGCCGTGTGCTCACGTATAATGACTGCGCCCTCTGGTACATCTGCATTCATTACGTATTTTCATCAACTGAAATCAAGGATAAAGGCATGAGGTTATTTGAACTACTTAAAAAGCTCTATCCTGAACAACCATGACTAATATTAGAAACCTTGTTGTGTAAATGGACTTCCATGTGAAATGGAAATTGTTATGGAGGCATCTCTTGCTATATATAAGTTCCTCCTTGTGTCCTACTAACATTTTCTCATTAGGTCAATCAAATATCTTCACAAACTTGATCATATTCTTTAGTGCCTAGTGATTTGATGTAGTTATGGAGCCGCACTGACGGTATTAACTTCATCATCTTTAACATGGATTAGTGAGTTTCAAATGACTAGAACTTCATCCTATGTTAATGTGAGGAGGCACTTAAATGCATATTCTTTAAAGCACCTATGTAAATATGGTACTTATCATACTATTACTCGGCACCAAGTTAGGAAACAAAGCAATGCTTACCGCTGATTGTCCTTTTTTTGGGACTCCAGAGCTCCATTCCCTCATAGCGGTAAATTTTCATATGCAGATCAATCAGTGGCCGAGCATACCTCTTTCTTCGTTTGATTGCATCTGCCTCCTCATATATACTCCTGTGATGTTTATGACAAGCAATTGCAAATATGTGCTTTCCCCGCCAGAGGTATCTACAAAGTTTACAGAATGTAAAACCATACAAGTCATGAAAATTTGCATGGACTTCGGAAAAAATATTTTCTTAGCGAGTTACAAAGTACTCAGAAACAACCCACCTTTCAAGAATTAGCAACGGGTCAACAATAAGCTCCATTTTCCCATCAACCCAAATGCTATACTGAGCTTGAGGAAATAACCTATGAGTTAGTATCTTAGGAACCTTTCCGTTTCTTCTAGGTTCATCATATGGTGGATGGTGTAGCATCACAAGGCGCCAAATACCAACCCATTTTCCTCCATCACTGTCCTCTCTAACAGTAACATTTTGCTTGATGAAATGAAAAGACACTTCATCAACTACCATCAGAAAGCAAAAGAGTTCTCGAGAACGTTGACTTATGTTTGATGGTTGATGGGGAGTATCATACCCATCAAAAATGCCTGAGGCAACCACGAACCTACACTTCTTTGCATATTTAACATCTACAGCATCCATTTCTCCACCACCATTTTTTATAAATCCACAGTGGACCTTAGAAAGAAATAAAGAGCAGTAAATGAAAACCTTTAAAGACTTGGAGAAATCTTTAAACTTGTGAGAACAATGAGTATGAATGAAAGTTATGAAATTAAGATAACTTCTTTCATGTTTATATGCATAACATAATAGACTAATCATCTATGAGAAGTTCAAGATCTGTATTATATTTGTCTGAATGTATCAATGCATATATGAAGGCTTGCTAGGTGAAGTTGGAATATGCTACACCAGATTTGATTTAAAGAAAGTGCGAGAAGTTGAGCTAATAGATTATATTGTATGATAACATTTTCAAAAATGAAATTATGAAATACATGTCTGACTATCCAGTTAACTACACTAGTCAACACAAACACTTCTCTCTCATTTCCACAGATACATTCACACCTTTGGACCGGGACTGAAATGAGTGTAGCAAACTTACTAAACCAAGGAGTAGGCCAGTTAATTGCAAATGAAGTTGCTGAAAACTTCATAGCACAAGACAAGGACACCACATAATAAAAATAAGATAGAACAATTTTTCGTAACAAGGATCAGTCGGAGGATGGAAATGATATCATAAGATGAGTCCAGCTAGACCTGACCAGCTTATTTCTTTTTTATAGGACATAACCATAATGAAATTATTATAAGCATGAAATGTTGTGATGCTGACATGATGCTTATAACACACTTATCAAAGAATAACAGAGGCTTCCACATGTTTGTCTGTCCTTTTGTCTAATAATGAGTTCAAGTTTATTAAATGTATAGGTAATGAGGAGGAACTGATTTCTACATCTAATGTGTTCTTCATCAGCCTACATATCACAATTTTATTACCTTCATTGTTGTATTCAATTTGAAACTATTCTCTCTTTGTGTCCAGTTCTGATGACCCCCAAAAAGCGGCTGAGATTTTTCATCTGCAGTCACTTGCTCATCTTCCAATACATATGTTAGACTTTTTGGAATAGTATCAGGAGTTCTCTTAGGAATGACTATGGTCTCTGGATCATCAACAACAGGAATTCCGCAACCTAAATGCAGAAGGTGCAAAAGTCAGATAGTGGAAACTTATGAATCTTGCATAAAAGAAGTCATAGTAATCTTACGATGCTGTGGCTTTGATGTGAGACCCATCGTGTCTAAGATGATAAATACTTTGCTATCTTGATTACAAAGAGCTGGAAAAAGAGTGTCATGAATGGCAAATTTTAACAATGTACATAAATTAGAAAATTGAAATTTAAAAGAAAATGACTACTGGAAAAGTCAGCATAGTAATGGTTGTTTAAGATTGACAATAGTCAATTGAGTAAGGCTGGATGACAGGAGATGTAAGTAGAATTGGTTAAAAATTAAAAAAAAATGACAATTAAATATATTGGATAACCAAAAGCCTCTGCTGCAGTGACAAGCAAATGCATACACAGACATATAGTTGCACCAGTCTTCATGCACATAAACATGTACATGTATTACAAGAAAAAACATGCATATGCATGTACCTAACACATCACATGCTCAACCTGGGCTCATAAATCATTAACAGACAAGAAGTGTATATTCTTGTTTTTACAATACAAGGTCATATCATTTTTGTTCTGACTAAGACTGCCAATAATTTCTGATGGTACCACAAGGTATATTTTTCTATTGATGTTTTAATAGCTACCATTCTTGTAACAGCCAGAAAGTCCACATCTCAGGCTTCAGATATGCCACCAAAACATGTTCTTATCATAGTGAGACCAAATCTCCTTGTTGATTGTTAGGCTATTTGCATTTGAATCCGATAGACAAAAATAATTGTGATGAACAAGAGGATGCAAATAAGTACATCGTGTTCTTCTACAAAGGTACTGCTTCCTCTTTCCAAGAAAAGGTTAACAGACAACTAATGATCCAAGAATTACATAATATAACAGAATGTACAATGGGGATAAACTTTGACTCTTGAAATGGAAGGATAGCTGTGTCTACCATAAATTTTAGCAGATATATTTGTATAATCTATTAATTCCTATTAGGTCATCAGATCCATCAGAAAATATTCAATGCCACAGTATAAATCGTTTTAATTACACAATGAACGCCAAACGCAAAAAAAAAGAATGAAAATTCAGTATTACCTGAGAAGAAGCTAATGGAAGAATGGCAGGACCACAAATGAAATAGCAATGCAAAAAGAATGAGCAGCATCCACAAAATGGCCGACACCAAGACCAACCGTATGAAACCCTTCCGCCATACCATCCTCAGCGGATCGTGAAGACCACTCCCATTGGCAGAGACATCGGTTTCATCGCCTGCATCGACAAAGGTTGCAACTTTTAAGAACAGAGAGCAGAACAAATTAAAACATGTCCACTTTCGAAACTCCTGACCTTTGCGGCGAGTACCCCAACCGCTCCTCTCCGTTCGACGGGAAGCCCGCAAGGAGAGCGAGCGCTGAGCTTCCGTCTCCATGCTTCCTACCTCCCGTCTTCCATCGCATCAGTTCGCGTGGGACTAAAGATCAAAGAGAAGAAGGATACGAATCTTTATCAGAAGAATGAATACGAAGGCAGAAACGGAGAGGAAAGAAATCGAATCGCTCCGAGTGACTCGAAGAAATCACCGATTCAGCTGTTCTTTGGGATTGGAGGCGTTCGATTCGAGTCGAGCAAAGGGGAGTCCACCGAAAGGGAAGCAGATCTTGTCGAGCAGCGGCGATGAGGCAAAAGGCCGATGCCATGAGTTGTTATCGAGCCCAAATATATTTGGGCTTTAACCCTTCACTCGGCCCAAATAGAAATTAACATATCAATTAATTAAAATTATTTATACAATTATATATATGTTAAAATCGTATTTTTTATTGATTATTACATCAAAATCAACATCACTTGACTTTGACTAATCATTACATCAAAATCACGATCAAATCATTATTGATTATTACATATAAATCAAAATCAAAATCACGAGTCGGACCCGAACTGGGGAAATGTGGGGTACTTGTCCACGTCGATCAAGACCGAACACGAATCATCCGGGCGCGGGCACGAATCTTGAAGTCATGCACTCACGCATCCCACATCATCGGCGGCGACGGCGGCGAAGGCGACGTAGATCCTGTCAAAGATGGCCATTAGATCCCACCATATCTCGCTCTTTCCAAATCCGTCCCCTCGTCCAATTCCAACTCCGATTCCTCGTCTCCTTTCTCTCTCCTCTTCCCCTGGCCGATTCTCCACCAGGCCACCACGGAAAAGGAAAGGAATCTTCTTCTTCCGAACTCGAATTGGAATCGACAAGTTAAGCTGCTTTCTTGTGGATCTCCAACTTAATCACCGGCATGATGATCATCCATTTAGGGAAAGGATTGATGCCATCGCTGCTCTATATATCTGCACACTCCTCATCATCCTGCAATCTCTGCATCGGCTTCGTCTTCCATCATGGGCGACGCTCCTTGGAATCCTTTCGCCTCGCCCATCCCCTCCCGCCACTCTGCTGCCGACCGCCACGCTGTCGTCGTCGGTGTCGACAAGCTTTCCAATGCGCACATCGACGCCAATGCGCACAAGATTTGGAGGGACCCCAGCTGCGAGTTCTTGAGCGACGCCGGGGCGGCCCACGTGCCGGCGGCTTCTTCCCGCATGGAAAGATTCGGAGTTGACGTCGACGTCGATCCGAAGGCGTCGTCTGTCTCTGTCTCCGCCTCCAAGGAGCCCCACGTTGCCTTCGAAGGTGTGTCCGCCACCACCGATAATGGCAGCATCATGTCTGGATCCGGCGATGGCAGCGGCGCCGAGGTCGATCGATGGAATTCCAACGCCTCTTTCTGCCGGACATCCACCTTGCTGAGGACGAAGACCCGCTCCCGACTCATGGACCCCGCGCCTCAGCCCCGGTCTGGTGCGTTGGCGGCCGAGGCTGGCCGGTCGACGACCCGTTCCAGTCCGCTGCCTTCCGGGCAGCTCCGTTCGCAGCTTCTCGGTGGGTCGATGACCGACGAGGACGACGAGGATCCTTTCCTCGTCGAGGACCTCCCCGCGGACGACGACTTCACGCGCGCAAAGTTCCAGCCCTGGACGGCCCTCCAGTGGGCCAGCCTCCTCCTCGTCTTCGCCGCCCTTGCCGCGGCCCTCGCCGTGCCGGCACTCCGCCGCTGTTCCGTCTGGGGCCTCCGCCTCTGGATGTGGGTCGTGCTCTTCCTCGTCCTCATCTGCAGCCGCCTCGTCTCCTGGTGGGGCATCCGCCTCCTCGTCTTCTTCATGGAGCGCAACTTCCTCCTCCGCAAGCGCGTCCTCTACTTCGTCTACGGCGTCCGCAAGCCCGTGCAGAACTGTCTCTGGCTCGGCCTCGTCCTCCTCGCTTGGCACCTCCAGTTCGACCAAAAGATCCAGCGCCACACCAACAGCAAAGCCGTCGACTACGTTAGCAAAATCCTAATTTGCCTGCTTGTTGCCACCTTCTTCCGCCTCGCCGAGACCATCGTCATCAAGTCCCTCGCCTCCTCCTTCCATGTGAGCACTTACTTCGACCGCATCCAAGAAGCTCTGTTTAACCAGTATGTGATCGAGACCCTGTCAAGTCCACCATGGATGCGATCCCAGCGAACAAGAGACGAGGACAACCACTTCTTCTCCGAAGTCGAAAGATTTCAGAACGCAGGCGTTGCAATTCCCGCTGACCTGAGAACGTTAACCCTGCAGAAAGGGTCGCAGAATGGTAACAGTGCGAGGTCTGCAAATGCAATGAGAAGGAAGGAAATTGGTCAGAAGCAGGAGGGGATCACGATCGAACACCTGCATAGATTGAGCCAGAAGAATGTACCAGCCTGGATTATGAAGAGGATGATGAAGATTGTGCGGCATGGCACGCTGTCGACTCTTCACGAGCGGTTGGTGCGTGCCAGCATGGAGGATGAGTCCTCCGCGATGCAGATACAAAGCGAGCGAGAGGCCAAGGTTGCTGCCAGGACGATCTTCAATAATGTAGCCAAGCCCGGTGAAAAGTACGTCTTTTTTCTCGTTTCTACTGTCGCATTGAGTTATTCTGATAATTAGCTTATCGAGTATAAAATCTGCAGGCATATCTACTTGGAAGATTTGATGCATTTCTTGAGGGAAGATGAAGCTCTAAGGACTATGGGTCTGTTTGAAGGAGCTGAAGAAAACGAAAGAGTCACCAAGAAGTCTCTCAAGAACTGGGTGGTACTGAACCCAACCCCTCATTGGTGTGCGTACATATAACTTCACATCAGAGAACTGAATCGGTTTATCGTTCTTCCACTGCAGGTTAATGTCTTCAAAGAACGAAGAGCTTTGGCTCTAACACTGAACGATACCAAAACAGCAATCAACAAGCTCCATCAGATGGCAACTGTAGTTGTAGCCGTCGTTGTGCTTGCGATATGGCTTCTCATCCTAGACATTGCAACAACGAAGTTCTTCGTTTTCCTTAGTTCGCAGCTTCTTCTGGTGACTTTTGTCTTTGGAAACACTTTGAAGATGATCTTCGAAGCCATTATCTTTTTGTTTGTGATGCATCCCTTTGATGTCGGCGATCGCTGTGAAATAGGAGGAGTTCAGGTGAGCAGAGGAACACTTTGATATACTTAATTGGGATGCTCTTCTAATTTACCTAATGGTGGTGTATTTTTCTCATGTTCAGATGATTGTTGAGGAGATGAACATTCTTACGACAATATTTCTGAGATACGATAACCAGAAAGTTTCCTACCCAAACGGTGTGCTGGCAACTCTACCTATAGGTAATATCTATAGAAGTCCAGACATGGGAGATGCAGTCGACTTCTCTGTTCATGTTTCGACGCCAGTGGAAAAGCTTGCTCTCATGAAAGAAAGAATAATGGCGTAAGTATGATGAACATTTTATTGGAAAAGCCATTCACAATCTCTTTGTGGTGTGGCATTAGCTTCTATTCTGGAATCAAAATGACACCTTCTTGGAATAGCATTTGAGCTTCTGCAATCATTTCAGGTTCATCGAGAGGAAAAAGGATCACTGGCACCCGAGTCCAACTGTTGTGATCAAGGATGTGGATGACATGAACAGGTTGCTGATATCGATCTGGTTGCGACACCGCATGAACTTTCAGGAAATCAACGAGAGATGGAAGAGGAGGGAGCTTGTGGTTCAGGAGATGATCAAGGTATTGAAGGAGCTCGAGATCGAGTACCGAATGCTGCCCTTGGATGTAAACTTGCGGGCTATGCCTGCTTTGACCTCCACAAGGCTACCTTCTACATGGAAAGCTTGCAGTTAGCTGATCTAAGTTTTTAGGTATAGGAGAAAGGTCTATAGTTTTGTTTTCCTTTGCAGAATAACTTGAATTCTTTGCAAACCTTATATTCAATTGTGAACATCTAAATTTAATCTCATTTTTTAGTGATGATATTATTCAAAAAAGATTTTTCCTGGTGATTTTTTCGATTTATTTTGCAAATAATAACAAGCCGTAAAGTCCAATTATTTGAGTTTCTCACACATGTTTTTGATTCAAGTATTAGAAATGATGAACATCTTTCCAGCCACTGTTCAGTTTCAGTAATGACAGGTTGAAAGGAAACAAGATACTGCAAGAACCTCACCTTTGATCCTACTAGTAATGTACAGGAGCAAACCTATCAACCAGACAACCACTGGCTCACATTTGATCCTCTGCTTTCCATGTAATAAGATGGCTCACAGATCCAGCTTTTGCAAGAGCAATCAACTGACCCTCATTTGAAGTTGGTCTCTTTCTTGGCACTAAGGTTCCTAGTGTATGAACATACTCTCTGTGTTATAAGAGATGGGCTTCTCTACTTTACCCCCTTGTTGCTCTTGGAGACTGTCCTTTTTTAAGGAAGATGTCAGTCTTACTGGGCTTCCGATAGCTGGGGTGGAAGAACAAAATGAAGGTGTAGCAAATGGTGAGACATATGGTGTGTTTTGAATCGAGAACGGACTGCGCGATATCCTTTTCTGAAGTGGAAGTCCTCCCAGCCCTCCTCGATTAAATACAGAAATGGCTTCAGCAGCAGCACACTTCTTTGTAGCATCATCTACGAAGATCAAGTCATCAATCCTTGCGACAATGTTAAATGCCAAACTCTCCATGACCCTCGAATAGCTCTCGAGGATGGACTGTCCTATATCCTGCAAAAGAGGTTTTTACATGCTTGGTTCAATTTTTCCAGTATTGAAGGTCAGAGAAACAAGCTTTGCTGCTATCAAAATTCAGTATCACCGGCATATTCTCAGTTTATATAATATGATTAAGAGGCATCCAGAATCAGTCTAATTGGCTGGATGATTTGGAGCAATTCAATTTAAATCAGGGTAATATATTAGCTACAAACAGAACTTTAAGAATTACCTTATTGTACAGGATCTTGTTCATATCCAGATCAGTCTGAGGGAGACCAGGGTAACGAATTCGTAAGCTCTGCAAAAGACCCTCAGCCCGTTGAGCGAGAAGCAGACTTCTTTCTTTGTTGATAACAAGACCCTTGACCTTCCCACTCCATGAATTCTTCTTGGCTTTCAATGGAGAGTGTCTGCTTTGGCCTTTCAGCCCCCAAACATATAATGCTGCTTCGATCCTATTTGCTATTTCTAGAATATGGTGCTCAGATGACAAGTCCAGGAGGTCCAGCAGGCACTCAGGTGAAAATTGATCAGCAATTATGTAACGGTGGATGATGTCACCTAAACAGGATTTCCCACTCTGCAACTCATCAAAATTGTAGAAAGAATTATGAAGAACTTCGATATGACAAGAACAAACATAACAGGAGCTGGCTGCACTCGGATGTAGTCTGGTTGATGATCATGCATGACGGTGGCAAATTTGGATTGATAGCTTTTTTTCCAAGTTACTCTAAGAGTAGGTTCATTGGAGAACACACCAACTTTACATGACTTAAGTACTAGCTCAGTTACATAATAACTGCTAAATGATTACTAATTGCAGCAACCGACGCATCTTTCTCGTCAAAGTTTGTAGATAATAATCATGTTCTTTTCTCAGACTAATAAATCCAGATGTTATTGACTTTATAGAAAGTACTTACTGCTAGCATAATTTCATGCTGTTGGTGCTGAAGTGCCAATTTCATATAACGATACTTTGTGTTGCATTTTTTTTTTATAGTTTATACCTTCATTCCCCCTTATTTTTCTGTAAGTACATCATGTCCAAGATTACTAGTCCTGGATAAACAAAAGCTAGCTCACAATAGAAGACAGAAGATACTTTCATTCAGATAATCCAAGTATCCATAAGAAAGAGCATTGATTACCAAATAAAGTACAAGAACTCTGAGAACAATTAAGTGATATCTAGCTAAAACATGAAAGTTCTATTGAAGTAAAAAGTTACTCTTGGCCAAGGGTCACCGTAGACAGGTGCAGAATCTGAACTCCCACTCCTCTGATATCAAGTTTCCAATAGTAGTCATGGACTATGATAAGTTAAGATGTCAGGAACTTGTTGATCTGAAGTGGATGCACCTCTTCCATGAGTGTGCATCACAAAATAAAACAATGATATCAGAAAGATTGCTTGCTCTTTGTAGGGTATCCATTGACAAACTTTTAGTACATTTTTGATGAGAATGCTCAAAGATAATGTCAGTCGAAGGCCCAGACGAAAAATATGAAGGGTTGTGTTAGACCACTAATAATTGTCATAAAACTATATTAGATCTCAGAAGCATGAATATTCAAATTTTTAAATACATGTTCTACTTTAAACGGGCCAAAGATAAAGTAACAACTGTCCCAGAATCCATACCTTGGGCAAGGTTTCGAAGTAGACATTAGGAATTTCAATCTCAGCAAGAACCCCACTATTAATTGCCATAGCTGCCTTCAGTATCTGATTTGCACAATCCCTGGACTGCTGCAACCTCTTCCTTTCCTCCTTAGAGAGACCATTTGGTGGAACTCTTGGGACCGGTAACCACCACTTCTCCTCCTGTCTCAAAGATGGCCTCCCAGAAGAGGAAGGTGGATAGCTCCCACTTCCATTCTCATCAGCATCAGCAACCAGAATTCCACGATCCACATACCAGAACTCGGTATCACGGAACCCCTCCAGTATGCCAAGAAGCATAGAGTCCAATCTCTTGAGAGCTGGGAGGTTGATGTGGAGGTCCGCACGAGGACGAGAGACCATCACCTCAAAGGTGCCACCGCTAGGGAATTCTTGGATGGAAGGGACGAGCTCCACAATGTAGTCACTCACGCTCAACAACCACTCCATCTCCCTTCGCCACATTGTCTTCTTCTGGGGTGCCAGTGGCTCCAATCTCCATAATTCTCCGAAAACAGTAGCTGGATTTACCATTTATAACAAGAAGAAACATTCTAAGACAATAATTCTTACTAAATAGAGTGAAGTAGAGAGAAGGAATTGGATCTCACCGGAGAGATTGGTGATGGCATTTGAGATCGCGAGGGCGGTGCAGACGCCTTTGCCACCACCTGACATGTCTTCGCCAAGAAGCAGCTTGGCGAATCTCTCCTTCATCATCTCCACTTCTGAGAAAAGATAACTCATTCACAATCCAAAAGAGGGAAAATTTCCAAAAAAATGAAAAAGGGATTCGAAGTGGAAATGAGGTGAAAAATGTTGGCAACAAACCGGAGACATCAGTGGCTCTCTTCTCCAACTTCGCCTCCCAGAAGAGCACATCCCCGGCGGGGAGCAGGGACGCGCCTGCGGAGGAGGCCGAAGCCGAGGCGGCGGGGAACCCCCGGCCGGAAATTTCGCTGGAGGAGTCGGACCCCGAGACATCCGCGCTGGGGCTGTAGCTGCCGCCGCCACGGCTTTCGCTCGGCTGGTCGGAGGCGTACTCCTCCTCGAACGAGAGGCTCCCCATGCTCGCCGACACCGGGAAACTGAAGCCGGAGACGATTCGGGAGCAATGTGGGATGTCCCCGCCGATGGATTCTTCACGGGGCTTGCCTCTCGCTCCCGAAAGAGGTGCGGGACGGGCGAAACATAAAGAAAAGGTCAGAAGAAGAAGAAGAAGAAGAAGAAGAAGAAGACGCCGCGAGCCAACCTCTCTCTCTCTCTCAAGCAAATGGAAAGGGGAATGCAAGGAAGGTTGCAGGGGCGACGTCTTCTTTTTGCGCAAGCCCACTAACCATACAGTCTCAGTCTGCCTTTTGTGGTTCTCTTGCTGCCTTTTCACTTTATTATTTGCTTTCTTTCTTCTAATCTTATATATATATATATATATATATATATATATATAATTTTGGAACGGAAATACAAGCCTAAATAGTCAATTAGAAAGGAGTGAGTCCGAACTCATTCCAATTGTAGTCAAGTCTGGTCAAAATTAATCCAGATTGGACCAAATCAGGTCGCGTTAGTGCCGGTCGGACTTGAATTCGCTATCTCAAGCCCTACTCGTCCAGGAGCTTATGGTTCGCATAGATGGATCCGTCCCGATGTTGTTGGCATGAGCTGTGAGCAGGCGACGAGATCAGTCAAAACGAAATGAACCGATGGCGAAGAGATACGCGTTGGCCGTCGCAATCGTGACCCTCGTCCTGCCTCCGCCCCCCCCCCCCTCCCCAAAAAACCGCCGTCTCCTCTCCGATCCCCGGCCGACTTGTGGCGAGCAAGCGGCGAAACGCAGATCCGATCGGATCGAGGGTCATCGGTCTACTTGGGGATTTCCTCGGATCGCGGGTGTTGGGTTGGTCGAGGGATTAGAAGATCTCTCGATTTCTATTTTGAAGACGGAGGTTGAAGGGTCACAAGGAAGATAAAAAGGGGATCGGGTTATTATTGTTGGTGTTGGTGTTGTTTAGATCGAGAAAGATGATAACGAGATCGAACCTCGCGGAGCAGCTGAGGGAATACCAGATGCGATCCAAGCACGAGTGGGCCACCGCCTCCTTCTTCTCCTCCACCTCCTCCCATGCCTCCTCACGGTAATTTTTAGCGGTTTATTGCCATATGATTTCCTGAATTCTTCTGCTCTAGTCGTGTTTGGTTATCTAGATTGTCTTCTGTTTACGAAGTATGAATTCGATACGGTATTTTGAATCGAGATGTTGGGTTTCATCTAAATCGGCATGATAGCCTAGATGATTATCCTCGACAAATTTAAGTTTCTTAGGACCGACACAGTTACCGCTCGTCCGATAAGACTTTTAGAATCCGTAATTGGCACAATGCTAGGTTGCACTTGTACCATAACATTCTACCTGAGAATAAGTCATGAACGAAAACTTCTTTTTAGACCCATTAAGGACTTAATTATGATGTTTAGTTTGTGATGATAGGTAAAACCAGATCAGACCCACCTTTATGGTGATGCATAGCAACATGGATTGCTTGAGGAGGCTTAAGAAGCAAAGCATGACTAGTTCCCTTTGGTGAGGGTCTTACATAGTTGAGGAGATCCGAGTGTGAAGGTGAAAGTTCAACAACACTAACATTCATCAAATTAGTCCTATCTTTCATTTAAACATAATTTGATTTTCTTTCTTGACAAACCCCTTGAAGTCAGGCTTTTTAGCAAACAAAAAATTATAGGAGAATTGAATCAGGATTGTGTGGTTGATAGAGGAGCCAAAACTAGCAATTGTTAGTGGAAGATTAGTCGTATTTGTTTTGCTATTAGACAATTTTTTTAGTTTCTTTTGCAAAGCTTGAAGTCCTAGAACTATTTGATTCAGTGAAGTTTGGATTCCATCATGGCCATTGAAAAATTATCCTGCCCATTTAAGAAACTTATTTGTTTTTGACTATCATAGAGTTTTATATTGACAAAATCTAAGTTTAAGAATCCATGAAGTCTTAAACTTAGATTTTGTGGAACGTATTTTTTGAAATTGTTTATTTGTTAGAAATTGGGGCAAACGAGAATGGCGAACCACTAGTGATGTCTTTTTCATGACGGATTGCACAAGTAAACTCTTTTCATTTTTTCAGTGTCTTTTCTTACCTTTCTCATCTTTAATACTGCTTGTAACTTTCCTATTTCTGTGGAGAGAGAAGTGAGTGGTAGACCTATGTTTTTCATTCTATGATACAGTGGATGCTGCTTCTTGTTCATGCAGCACAGCAAATGACATGAGCAGTATGCTATGCCTATGTGATCAATTATATATAGTGATGACTCTAGGTTACATACCGATGCAAATCTAATACTACCCCTCAAAACATATATATGGCATCTATGTGGCACAATTAGTCTGATGCAGTCAATGTACTAGGCCTTTAAAACACAAAAGATCCTTCAACATTTAAAACACAAAACATCCTCTTGAGCAATAGAGTCCAAATACTAGGCTAAAGGTAAACTTTTACACCAGCTTACAACAAATTCTTCATTTCATAGGCTTTTGATTCAAATTCTCATTTTCCTGGTAGTCACCTTGGTACTCATCCTTCTTTAACTAACACTCTCCTGATTAGGATAATACCAACTTAAATATCCTTTGAATTCCAACAGACATGATGATATTGTAATGTTTTAGAAGTATAATTCTACGATTCTCAAAATGCTATAGTTGTTGAAAACTTGCAATACAAATGAAGATGTTTTAAATAACTCATTAACATATCTTGTTTTTTTATCTCATCAGGTTGTCCTAGTTTCTCATATATTGAATGTGGGAGGACAGATGTGTTGATTTATAGGGCTAGATAAGCTACTATCATCAGTTTGAGTTCTAGTATTTTGGTTGATGTTCCAGACTCGTTAAGTTGATGAGTTAATTTTTCCATGGGGCTGAGTCGTGATTATAATTTGTATTGAAATTAACTTAGTTCTATACAGTGAGATGCACCAAATAGTAAAGGACTACTTGTTGATAAGCTAGAGGCATATCATAACATGAAACTACCTCTAAGTTGGGCCTCACATATTGTCTATTATGGGTTGATTCTAGGATACATGAGAAAGTCCAACCTTTGAGTTCCCATGTTGGAAGTTAAGGGTGGATGTGTTGGTTTATAGGGCTTGATGTGTTGGAAGTTAAGGATGGTTTATAGGGTAGATGTGTTGGTTCTAAGCTTATCAAACTAATGGGTCAATCTTCTCATCAGGTTTACCAAAGCAGACTTAGTATTACACTTTATAAAGGGGATCAAGTAGGAAAGGATTGAATGTAAACAACTTCAAGGGTGCTAAGGCTTAAGAAATCAAAGATAAAGTCGGTGAAGAAAAAGACAAATAGAGGGGAGGATGGGGTAAAACACATTCGATTTGCGGAAAAAAATATTTCAACAATGAAAATACAATGCATAATTGTCTTAAGAGGAGAGAAAGACACTGATGCTACCCTTCTCAAATGACTTTAGTTAAATATGAGGTTGAACCTTATGTTTCCACCTGTTGACAACTATAATAGCATCAGGTTATTAGTATTGTATGGTTTTGGTGGATTATGGATGAGGAGAAAATATAGAACAGCAAGGCCTCATTCCACACACATTTGTAGGCAAAAAGGCCTCAGTCCAAACTTTTTTTCTTTTAGGGTTAATCATTCTGTGTAATCTTCAATTAAACACAAATTTTGATTTTTTTTCTTTATTTTTCATTGGCTCCATTTATTTTCTCCTTGAGCAATTTATGAGACTAAAATAGAAATGTAGAAGATGAGCTATGTGACAACAACTTATGATATCTACAAAAGCCACCTCCAAAATACTAAAATTATTTTATAGAAAAGAAAGTTGACTAAAATGATAATATATTTGATTGAACCTCAAGTTCAAATTGATTACCGATCCAAAGTAATTTGGATAGAATTTCCTTCTTCTCACACCTACTGTAGAAACTGAACTTGCTGCTTGGTATGGCTGCCTTCTTTTCCTCCTCACAAGGGTCATCACTTACACCTTTTTTGATACACCTCCTTTGCTTCCTCATCCTCCTCCCATCTTCTCTTCCCCTTTCTTCTGGTCTCAACTGTGTTGATTCATACCAAATGTTAGTTCGTCAATACATATTGGAATTGTATCACTTCAACTGTCAGTCAGTACCAAACCACACCAAAAGTGGCAGAATTGATGTGTTGGTTTACAAAGTTAGATATACTAATCATCATTAACTTGAGTTTAAATATTTTAGGTTATGTGGCTCTAGGCTCATCTGGTTATCAGTTGGTTTTCCATTTGGTTGGGTTGTGATAGTTTAATTATTTGAAAATCAGAAGGTGAAGTTCACCAAAGTTGAACAAATTAATTATGTTTCCCTCTGCTTTTTGGTAAATGACTTTGGAGCTATCTCCATCAAAGTCCACTTTTTCTATATTTTTGTAACTTCACTTATGAGTGTTAGTCCACTTTTGGTGCAACATACACGAGAACATTTCTTCTTTGATAGTTCGCTGTCAGTGAAAGAAGGGATTCAAGGGAGGAATTTCATTAGTTGGTACTGACTTATTGTCTTCTTATCAGATACTTAAGACTTCTTTGTTTTTTTTTATGCCCAGCCCTCCAACATTTATAATACAAGGGATAACACTCAAATCCACCCTTAGTATATTCTAACAACAGTGGAGATTCCCTAGCCTAATCACCAAGTTGTCTTCCATGTGGCATGTATTTCTTCAGCTACTTCAGCCATTTTTCTCAGTGCTAATATCTTCTTATCCATTTTGACTAATTCTATCAACTAAACCATCTTTAATCAGGTAGCTCTAAACAGATAATGCCAATTAAAATTAGAATTATGTTTTCCAATTTATAGGTGATGTTTCTTTTTACCAATGTTTATTCTCAAACATAATGATGTTAATAAGGAGTATTGATGAGGCTATGAGCCTGTGACTGTTCTAATTTCAAACAAGATTGTCGTGTCGTTTACCAAAACCAGCTAATCATTGTCTCTCTGATCTTTGAAGCGTCAATTATTGGAGAATTGAAATGCTATATAAATTCATAAATCTAGTTTTAACTCAGTATACACGTTCATTCTTAGAGCATTTCCAATCTGATCCACTCAGTTTCCGTCGTATGGATGCAGGGTCGATGCAGTATTTGTGATATGGGAGATGTTGATGTTTGCTCTCCTTGTCTTCGCAGGTGTTGCTTTGTACTTCAGGTATATGAAGCTTGCTTTTCTTTTGATGTGTGTTACTGCAGTTGTTCTTGTGTGCATGAAAGTAACAAAGCAAATAAGACAAAACAGGAAGAGCAAACGTAAAATGCTCCTCCCCTTGTCAATGTAACACCACAGGGTTCGGTCTTGCATTGACAAACTCATTCTTGTGCAAAGGATTTTCGAATATTGCAGCCAAAGAGCTTTCATTGCTTCTTATATCTGTGTTCAAAGAGCATTTATTTCTTTTCGGTAGTTCAGACAACAATATCTCATGCAAAGAGTTGGCACACATCTGGTGTATGGTATATTTAGAAACACTGAAAATTCAGTCGAGTTTGATTATAAGTTTCTTTTAGCCAAATGCCTATATCAGCTTGGCATAATATATGGAATATGATTGTCAAAATGTATCAAAATCTTGGTAGTAATATTCAAAGAGTTTATGTAGTTTAGATATACCCAATTTGAGAAATCTTTTGGGTGTTTGTAGTAGACATTCTTGAACATAGAATGAGGATTCTCTTCTGATTTAATGTTTTCTTTCTTTCTCACTTCAAAAATTTTCGGTTTTATTTGCTTCTAATTGATGAATGAAATTGCTATTCAAACTCTGTTCTTCCTGATCATTCTCCACTCTGTGGCAAGCAAGTAGAGGGGTTGATCTGCACATCTTGTTTTGGCAATGGCAGCCTCAGTCTGATAATTTTGGAAAGGTAGAATGTGTTTATGATGACTATATATCATTACATCACACTCTTTGATCATGCTGTTGAACAAAGTACCACAAACACTAGTTATAAGCATATTTGTTTAGTGGATTTTAGTTGCTTTCTACAGGATGGAGGAACCAAATAAGAATCAGTCAAACCCCATAAAATATTATAAGAAATAAGATAGAATAAAGGAGTGATAGATAGCTTCTATTAACCACATTCTTAATGGCTTTCAGTTGTACAAGAAGGATTTCAACTTGCCATCTTATCTTGGCACCAACATAAAGCATTTAGTCTTTCCAATGTTGAAATTGCCCCTTAATTTCATTGTTGTCTCTAATTCTTGCAATGGTTCCTTGAAAAAAGGTTGTCATATACTTGTGTAAAATTATTTTGACTTCATAGTTTACTAAAAGAACAGACAGCAGACACTGCAGTTTGCACCCTAAATTTCTTTGGCTCTTTAACTCATACCAAGTCAAAGACCAAAAGAAATATAATCAAATATGTAGCCACCCGATACCCATCCCGAGAGACAAAGGTCGAAGAACCTACATGTGATGTCAGGTTGGTTGGTTTAATGCATAGAACATAGACACAAAGGATGGACCGATCTGATTGATGTGCCATAAATGCTTGCGGTCGAGAGAAAAAAAATGATACGTGTTCACAGCTTAGTGGTAACAGACTTGATGTGGCCGTTTCTGTTTTCGTTCGTCACCTCATACACGTGGGTTCTCGGGCGGTTCGATGAATGTCTCCATTCCATCATCCGTCGCCCCTCTGTCCGTGGGTCCTCGTGCGGTTCGATGAACCGTCGCGTCACTCAACGGAAAGAAAATAAAAAGTACGTCGGCGTAGATTAAAAATCAGGGAAAATTATTAAATAATAACACTCGAGAATAATTGATTAATTACGGGGGCTCAATATAAGGTTAATAATATACTGCTGCCACTGTTTTACTGGGTTAATATTTTTGCTTTCTTAAAAGTCAATTGGTTATTTTCTACATCCAACTTCTTAGAATAGACCAATACCCATATATTTATCATCACGAAAACATCTATGCTTGTACGAGCAAAGAAAGTAATGTTATAATGCTCAAGCACTGGTCCTCTTGCCTGCGATGCACTCCCCCCTATCTATAGTCCTATCTCCTCTCTCTATTTACCGATCACTCTATACACTATTTTTTTTATAAGGTTTAATATTTTAAATTTCATATAATTGTTTTAGCATATAATAATAATATTATTATTATTATAAAGGGAACCTTATTGGCCCGCGATGCCACCACCGCTTCTGTCTCTCTCTCTAGGCACCGTTTTAAAACGTCCCTTCCATTGCTCCCGCTTCGCCATCCGAGTCCCATCACTCACCATTTTACTACTGATAAGATCACTAAAGGAACGAGAAGCCGAATCAAAGAGAAGCCAGGGGAGAAAAGCATACCTCATGGTCTTCGGATTCCGCTTCTCCTTCTCCCTGTCGAGCCTCAGCCCTGGCGCCAACCCTTGCCGCCGCCGCGACGCGCCCCACCATATGCGCTCCACCAGCTTGCCTTGCCCCGTCCTCTCACCCCTCCTGGACGAGATCCGCTCCCTCCGCTCCTCCCCACGCCGCGATGGGTTTGCCCGGATCAACCGCCTCCTCGCTGCCCTTGACGATCTCCTCCACCTTCCCCGGACCCGGGACACCCTTCGCCGCCGGCCCGCCTGGGCCGACCGCCTCTTCGACGACTTCCTCCGCCTCGCCGACGCCCACGGCTCCTTCCTCTCCGACGCCATCGCCCTCAAGCAGCACCTCTCTGAGGGTCGCACCGCCATTCGCCGCGGCGACCCCGTGCGGCTCGCATCCGCTGCCCGATCCCACCGCCGGGTGGAGAAAGAGATCGCCGGGCTCGCTTCATCCATCAAGGATCTCGCCAGATCCCCTACCTTGGCACCGGGAATCGGGCCGGACTCGGAGATCGCCGGGATCATTGCAGAAGCGGTAGCGGCAACAGCGGCCACGTCGACGGAAGTTTTCCTGTCAGTGTCTGGCTGGGGTTCTTGGATGGTCTGGGCGATGAAGAGGCCGTCGAAGAAGGGCTTGGAAGAGGCGGAGATGGTGGCAATGGAGAAGCTCGAAGAGCTGATGGAGCGCATCGAGGGATTGGAGGACGGAAGCGGGAGGGTGTTTAGGAGTCTGGTGAACACGCGAGTCACGCTTCTTAACATGCTCACGCCTTCTTTGTAGAACATGTCATGGTTGCATGACCAGTAGTGACTGAGTCTGCAACTGAACCGACCCGTCCCGGTCCAAGGCCTCATATACAATCGAGACGGGTCTAGCCTTGTACAGGACCAGACCGGGAACGGTTCATTACCAGTCTCGAGTCCATCAAAACAATAGAAATTTAAGGCTAAGTTTTCATCTGACAAACTGTATTTATAATTACGAGCTCACAAGCCTCAAGATTAGCTTTACATTCTTCAAGGTAATGAATCTAATGTGGGTTGAAGAATACAGTGATCTCTTCCTCAAAATGATAGAACATGTACTCACAGAAATATGTCTGTTTGCTTTGATTGTGCTTTAAGATCCTTCAGTTTCTTCAAGATATTCGTGAAGTAGTCTTGCAAGTACCTCTCTAGCGTCACAATGTCTTTCTGATCCACACCAAGGAGGTTATACGTCTCCGTCATCGGAACCGAGAAAACTATGTCGCTGGAGAGGACCTGTCATCTCATCAAGAAAGACATTTAAAAAACATTGCCCAAGCGCAATACGGAAACATAATAAGTCAAGTGAAAAGAATTGTGAATTTGGAATACATAAGGTTAGTAGAAATTAGTTATGATCCATTACAAACATCTATGATATCTTAAATTCACAATTGTACATCAAACTACTTGTAAATAGAACCATGGGTCGATACTCAATTGTTGCGTCTTGATAAAACGATTCTTCATATGATAAAAAATAGTTTTGCATTTAATAAAATCTATGTTAAATATAGAGAATTACCTCTGAGAATGCCAATCTGTCAGCTACATCATTGGTCCATTGGAAAAGTCGAGTCAGCTGCCGAGTGAACTTGAGGATCGAGACAGGGACAGTGGTAACATTTGCATCTTGCCCTGCGAGTCTCTCGCACAAGGTAATCACCTAGAACAATAGAATATTCTCAAAACTGAGGAAAACCATAGATTGCTCCCTCTGAACATTATCTTATTAAACTCAGTTCATAATTTCAGCTACAAAAGAAAACAAGATTGAGCTTGAGCTTTGATGCTTCAACTTCTGAATAAACATGCAGACAAGAAAAGTGTTATTGATACTTGAGAGGCAAGATTACCATGAAAGGAAAACCTAATGATATCCTAGGCCAAGAGTTCTGTACTAGTAGTCAGATGTCAATTTACCAAAAGTAATGTTTTCTGATCAGAACTCTGAAGTGGCTTGACAGCTGACTTAATCTTCGACATGAACCGATAGAGAAGTTGCACTGCAACTTGATGAGTCACAAGATTTATGTTCATGTGTTTGCTTTTGTCACATCCAAAAGTAACATTATCAAGTACATTAAATATATAAAAATGAAAATATTTAATGCTGAACAAAAGTTCCTCATCAAAAGCCCTGATGGAATTTCTCTGGATTCACAATTTCATAATATACAACTTTCAAGGCAGAATTCCATGTGTCCTTCCTCACACTCATAATATCATAGAAACCCCTATAAAGCATAGACACACCTCTATAGTTAGCAAACTTTCATGAATACCCTTCAGAATATCACAGAGTAACCTCAAAAGTTAATAAATTTCATAAACGTCCTTCCAATTTGAAATTGTACATGGCAAATGTGAAAGAATTGAATATATATAAAACTTATTAACTTCAGAGAAGTATTCATTATGCCTGCAACTCATGCAATTTCATGTATTTGAAAGGGTATGAAATCACCTCAAACTTTAAAGACGACAAACTAGTCTTCCTTCAATGATCTAAACAACATTCTACCTAGAAAGTTTTACAGTGTCCATTTCTCTGTTACCCTTTTTGCCTTTTGCAATGCCCTTTGCAATACTCCAACACATTTAGAGGACACCATTGTATACCCTCAGAGGCATGCACTTGTTTTCTGCACGACCAACCAATACCCCGGTGGAGAGTCCCACCCCCATAAAGACCTTCTTCATATAAGATAAGAACATAAAATCTCATTATAATAAATTAGTCTGATCAAATATTTATAGCTTTGTTGTTGTTGTTGTTGTTGTCTAACCAAGGTTTATTATGTCTATTACCACGTGCCATACCCCTGTCCCAAAGGTGTCAACATATGGTAAGGGTTTAAGTGTACCATGCCAAAAAAAGCTATTGGCACCCTTCATATCTATCCATGACTAAGGTGCAGACATGTGACATGGCCAAATTTTGGCTTGCGCTTGCAGGCACAACAATATGTTGATATGTCAACATACAAGCGAAATTTTGGCCTGTGGCTGCCAGCAAATAAGCATGTCAGCTACAAGGTGCAAAAATGTTATTCCAGAAAGGTCCCTGCATTCTCCCATATAGAAAAACAACAATCCTTGAATCCAACAATTAACTAAGCAAATCTCATGAAAATTCGAAACCAACCTCTTGAGTTGTCCATGCACGAGGTCCTGCAAAAGTTAGAAGTTCCTTATTTATCTTCTCATTACGCATAGCTATAAATGTCAGTCGAGATATATCCTGGAATGAGAGCAAAACTGTTATCAATATACTGCAAACAGAAGTTGAAAACTATTAAAGATCTTGGCACACCAGTAATAACTTAATTTTGCCAAAGAAGATAGACTAAATGTATCAACAAAGAACTTATATCTTACTTGGGTGTCCATGTAAGCTATTCGAGTTGGAGCATCAGTTCCCCAGACTGACTTCTCTTCTAGTATTGGAACAGCATACTGCCCGATAAGGCCCTATCACATTGAGGAATAGGTCAGTTAAAATATATAGCAACTTCAAACAAAACAAAGCAAAGAAAGACAAAATAGGCATGGCTGTGCAATAACAACAGGTTCATTGACCTTCAAAGTGGAGTTATCACATTTAAGTATCCTGAAATCTCCATAGTTTGCTATTCTCAGTGGTGAGATTTATATTTCATGGTAAGAGTGTCATTTTGTCCATATGTTGATTTCCGGTTATACAATAATGTACTAGTAGCTCCTCATTTTCTATTCATATGTAACAATAAGGACAGCAGTAACAAACACATGAAACTATATTGTCAAAGATGATATTTTAAAAAGGTTGGTACAAACAAACGAAAGATTTATCTTTCGAATGTTGATGCTATAACAGATGTGTAGCACTACCAAAAGATATGCTATGTCTATTTTTGTGAAGGTACACAAAAATCTTCAAGATATCAGCATAGTTTAAATCTTAATGACAGGAACTTTGTTGAAAATTGTTTTTTTTAATATATTTAATATAACCTAAGAACAAAGAAGTCCAATTTTAAGATCCTCATCTAACAAACTAATTTTGACTTATCCAAGAAAAATGTTACTGGAGTTCTTAGTGGAGAACACACTCATAATAAAAAATGTATTTGTTAAGAAAATACCTGCATGAAGCCACATAATCGAATTATAAGGTAGTTTAGACCAGAATCCTGAAGAAATTTCTCAGTACAATGCTTGATTTCCATCAAAGGTACCTCAGGATGCTTATCACAATTGTGGATAGAATAGAATACATACTTCTGAATGCCCATGGCTTTTGCACACTGGATTAGAGCAACTTTTCCTTCCCAATCTACCTAATGAGAATGAATTAATTAGATGGGCCCAATCATACAATCATAATGTCAATTGTCAATAACAAATATAAGAAGAAAGTGCAAATTTCCTGGTTATCATCTATGTCCAACAGGTCAGGTTATATACATTACTCTGAATACACACCAGTGTACATTAATGTACATTAAACTTATTGCTCTACATAAGTAAAAAAGACATTAAACCTAGGTATAACCACAAACCAAGTGTACAAATTTAGAAATATGTGAATAGGTTATTGGATTATGCAAAACAGCATAAGCTATGCAATTGAAGTGCCTATCAGAGATTATACAGTGACTTAAAGGAAATTAGCGAAAGAGCAATACTATTTAAGTACAAACAGGGTTACAACAAATGGATGCCAAAAATATGGAAATGTTTCCCTTGTAAGGCAAATATTTTCCCTTGACTGTCTAAATGGAGAACAAAGGATTGTCATGTGTGTGGTACAAGGCATGTCAGTAAGTTTTTGGCATAGTAAGATTCCATGTTGGCACAATTCCATGTTGGTTGGTACAAGTCAATTGGCCTATCCATATGATGGCACTTACAGCATGGGGTGGCATAGGATACATGCCGATAACTTTGTGGCACAGTTCTTTCAAACCTAATTGACACGGAAATTCTTGCTTGTAAGGCCATTTGCAGGTTCTTAATAAGAATCCACAATTCAAACTTAAACAAGGTACCAGAAATTCAGTTATAACCATTTCTTTTTTATTTTCTATTTAAATGGCTTCCACCTATTAAAGTACCAGATAATGATAATAGTAGTTAGACATTGAAAATATATACTTATTTTAATAACTTCCGAATATAAATGTAACAGAGAATAATAAAGGAAACTTGTGACCAATACCTATGATGTCAATTTGTGGTGCTCTCATACATGTACCAATATTCTTATGATCAGGTTCATTCTTAATGTTATAGAATAAATTCCAAGAAAAAAGATAACTATAAACAACATACTGTGCTGATAGGCTCTTCTGGGCGTCCAGTTGCACAATCAATTACCGTGTGGACACCAACAAGAGTTGCAGGTATGGTCTCTGGTTTGCTGAGATCACCCTGTTCAAACATGGTTAAGTACAGAGGTAAGCACGGACAAATATAAGTTGTATCAATAATTAGAGATATCCAATAAAATTAACAAAGAAACAAAAGAATGAATATAAATTTTAACATGTGACATCAAAATGAGTGTTGTCCTGAATATAAAATCTCCTGTCCAGGTATGCCTGACTGTGAAATAGTTCATAATTAGGTCAAACATATAGCAAGAAGTCCGTCAACATGGATATTCACTTCTAGAAGAAGCCAGAATGCCATCAAAGCATCATGCATGAGTTATACAACCAAAAGTCATAGGATTTTCAAGGCATTATGCATCTAACAAAAGAAAGTTAGCAGCAACATCTAGTGACCTTTTATAAAACCCTGCAACAGTCATTTGTGAAAAGCTAGTCGAGGTCTTACATTGACAACTATAGCACCCCAATCCCTCAGGAAGTCTGCAGGAGCTGGTCGAGGTCTTACAAGACATCTAACATCATAGCCTTCATCTAATGCCCTTCTAACAACCTGGCGTCCCAGAGTTCCAGTAGCCCCAACCACCAGTATGCTCGTTGGTCTAACAGGAGTTCCCTGTGACAGGCTTGTCGCAACAGCTGTCTGAGCATTACATTTAACCAGCATTGGTGCAAAACATCTGCCTGAATTAATTAAATGAACAAGAAAAGGATGAAAATAATATCAGAAAAAGAAAAATATGCATTTAAGAAAGATGAATGTAAAAGTAAAAAATATATATATTACACCACAAATTTCACATATTGACATGCAAAGTAAGCTTAAGCATTATCCTGCCAGTCTAAATTTACATATAAAGCATTAAAGCACTAAATTTACATGCAAAGAAAACCTTCATCCTTCCTTTTCAGACTTCAGTATCAGCATATACTTTCATAAACCCATCTAAGATGGTTTGACATATTTTACAATGCGAAACAAGTCAGTTGAGATTAAATCTGTAATGGGAAAATCATATGACTTGGTTAAAAACACAAAGGAAAGAGAAAACAGATCCCGATGGGAGGTGGTAGGCTCAAATAATTCACAAAGAAGAAATATAATAAAAGAGAAAAGAATAGACACTCAAACTAAAAATTCTTCACTCTCACCATTTCACCAATATAAGCATTCATTCCCTGCATCAGGAGTACTCTGAATCTGTGACACAACTTTATCTCATACTCAAACTTCACTCCTCAACTCTACTTATCAAATCAAAAGTAGTATTCACATCTTGATCAACTACTAACTAATAAAATTCAAACTCCAACAGTGCATACATACCTAATTAAAGTTTAATTTGATCTCCAACAAAATCTCCCACGATTTTCAATGGGACTCCCGTCCTACAAAGCTATGCTTCATAGCATTATATAAAAAGCATTTACATCGAGGCAAACATACTTCAACCGGTGAATGGAAACAGACGATAGCCGGAAATTCTCATCGTTCCCTGGGGATATTTAGCAACCCAAACGATGATAGATACGTTACAGAGGAGAAGGGTTTCGGTATCTTGCCCGGAGATGTAGAAACAGAGATGAGATCGAGCTGCGCTGGCGCTACCGCGCGGCGCCAGGAGAGGGAAGCCTGCCCGGAGCACTGCGGGCGGCGGAGATGGTGCCGGTGGTGATGGAGAGACGTAGAGGCGAGCTGTGGAGGGAGAGAGCCGAGCCTCGATGCCATCGGAGATCTCGTCTCGCGTCTCTTTCGTTATTCTTCCTCCTCTTCGTCAATCTAATGTGATGGATCGAGGGGAAGGACGATTCTGCTCTCCGCTCTCCTTTGTCGCACTCAACTTGAAGAGGCTCGGGGAGGGGATACTGGGATGTGGATGTGGGATGTGGGAGAGGGAGCAGCTGTTGATCTCAATCCTGCCACGTGGACGCCAACTGCATCATATACTTGTCCATCTTTTTGCCATTCTAATTTTTAATAGAGCATATCTGTATATCTAAATAATTACATACAAAATACTTATGAATCACTATACGTAATTAAATGAATTATAAAATTTAAAATATCTAAAATATCCAACAACACAATATTCTTTTTTATTTTATTATTTAATGTGCACATAAGAGGGTGACAACATATTCAAACTCCTCTGTCATTAGGATAATTTCTTACAATAAATATTACATTAATTTGTATGCAGTTTATGTAGTGGATGGAAATAGAGTTATCCAGAGGACGTGCCTACCATTGGTTATAAGGATCATATTCATTCATTCCCACATGAATAGGAAAATCAAAGTCTCATTAGTCCCACATTGAAAATGGATAATAACTATGATTGACTTATATAGACCTGATGAGTATAATAATTATGATAATTTTTACTTAATTAAATTTGTATGCGAAATATAACTGTCCACTAATAATTATTAGTATCATAATCCAGGACATGGACCGGTGTGGGGTCGCGAGCGGTATGCCAGCAGATCTTGCCACGTTGTTGTCGTGCCCCAATTCGCTGCAGTGGTGGTACGAATGATTCGAAAACAAAATTTAAATAGAACCTTTTATTCTCTTGCTCTCTTCGTTGCTTTCCATTTTCTCTTCTCGACTCCCGTCGGCCCGCTCGCTCGCCGAGTCCGATGGCGAAGAGCCCGCAGACACAGAATCTGCCGGTCGACGTGGCCCATCTCGTAGACCAGCTCGAGCGCCATTGCCTCGCTCCGGACGGTTCCCATGTCTCCAAAGCCGCCTTCTCCGATCTCCAACTCGTAATGGCTCCTCCAAATCCATATGGAGAGAACAAAAGATTCGCTTTCGCAGTATCGTTTTTTTACCTCTCAATTATCCCTTTATTTGGTGCATTTTATGGATCTGGTGGCAGGCGAGGGAGGAGATGTCGCGAGAGCGGATGCGGTACTTGGAAGCCATGGTTAGGTTTCTCGTGAAACTTGGAGTTTAGGGTTTCTTGGTTCATTTACTGTGAATTGGGCTTGTGCAGGCGGTTTACTGCGAGGCGATTGCGGTAGTTGAAGAGTATCAGCAGGCGGTTTCTGCAGCAAATATCGGAGGGGTTAAAGACATTCCCGTTTTACAACCTCAGCTCGGGCTGAATTGCTCCCCTCTGGTTTGATCTCGGAACTTGTTGTACGATTGGGTATTAGACATATTAGACATTACTTCTGGCTTGCATTCTTAGGGAAGGTTAGTTCTTGATGCATGTATATGAGTGACCTTGTTATTCTTGCATGATTAGTATATTACATTTTCCATGTCTTGAGGAGGGCTGCTATCAATACAAACAAACAGTTGGAGATTTGAATGGGCAATTTAAATTGGATATATACTTTTCAATCATTGGTATTTTGCTTGCTTTTTTTATGTTTCCACTTTTGAGCTTGCCATTTGATGAGATGGCAATGAAAGGGGTGGTAGTCATTCTTCACATTGCTGAATCATTTCAGTGGAGGTAGGTTGGCTTTTCAAATAACTAACTGGTTAACTGTGGCATTGTTCTGTACATAAAATGTAGACCGAGGTTTTGATTGATGGACTTTATTGTCGAGATGCAAGTGAGATAAAAAATTGAGTCCATATCAAAAGCTTAGACTGGATTTATGATCAGATTTTTTGTGTCAACTCTGTTAATTATGGAATTATGATTTTCTTAAGGCTCTAATACATGCAATTTATGAACGATATACTTGATCAAGGCTTATAAATTATAAACTATCAAGTAATCAGAGAATATTCATCTCAAAAGCGAATGTTCCAGCTCTGATGCAGCTTGAGACCAATCACTATACAATATAAGATGGATGTGTAAGTTCTGAAAGTTATCTTTTTTGTTCAGCTACTAACTTGCTACTTTTGTGAATCATCCTACTCCTCTTGGCTTGGGTTGTTAGAATTGAATAATGGATTGCTGATGTGTCTCAATTTTGTATATTATTTCCAGCAAAATGCAATTGTTGTATCAAATTGAAAAGAACATTATTAGAGCATTCAAGATACTCTATGTAAAAGTTAGATTGCTCTGCATGTAAATTAATGCGTTATTGTTCTGTTAAAAGAAAGAATTTAATTCATCCCAGTGAATTCAGGTTTGTGAGTCCCTTGAGCATTGGTTAGCAGTCGCAGAGGCTTCTCAAAGATTAAGACTTCCTCTTCTATCTAAAGATGGTGAAATTCATGAGGAGGAGATAGAGAAACTGAGTATGATCTCAAGAAGTTCTATTGACAGCACTAGTACGAGTGTAACTCCGAGCACAAACTCAAATTCAACATACTATAACAACAGTTATACAAATAGCAGCAGCGGTATCTTGGGTTTCACTGGTCCACCGAGTAGTTCCGATATTGTTGAACCAGGAGTTGGTGGAGTACCAAATCGTTTTCTTGGAGTAACACCAGGTTTTCTATGGCAAGTCCAACAACAGCATCCTGTCATGGCCATGGTATGTTCATGCTTGAAATTGATGGTTTCAAATTTTCAATATTGAAGCATGTCTATAGGTTGTGTTTCTTCTCATGATTCTGCAAAATTCATATTAGCAGAATGTTTTTTCATACCTCATCTGATATCTCTTGAATGTGGCTGTGTTTTTAGGATCCGTCAGAATACCAGAGATCCCTTGTTTGGGAAATTGAATCTCGCTTAAAAGCTAAATGTGAAATATTAGCTGATATGTTTGCGATGGATGACAATGGTAAGTCAGATTCTGAGTGCATCTTTGAGTTTGTGTATTGCACGCTTATGAAATAACTCTACTATGGGCATGCACATACCTTTTCGGCAGACTCCTCTTCCATAACTCAAATTTCAAGTGCTCGGCTTCCAGAAAGGTGATTCTTTTATCTGTATGATGGTTCTTATTTGTCTTTAACTTCTACATGTTTTGCACATAGTGCTTTGTTTGAATATTTTTGAAATGTTGCTTTCACATCTTTGAATTGATCCTTATAATACTGATGGAAAAAAGTATTGGATGATGATAACAATGAAATATCATGGTGATGGTTATACCCTTCACCGATCCAATGATCTTTGGTTCTGAACTTTTGAACCATGATACTCACCTTTAAATGACAGTGTTGGCTTGGTTGTTTTACACCTTTACTGTACTTTTCTTTTAGGAGTAATGACACTTGTGATGGAAGATAGATAAAGTTCCTAAAAGGTCTGTGGAAATAAAATTAATTTATTAAACAATTTTGAAGGGTCAGGATTCAGGAAAAGGGTAGTTCCATAAGTGCTTTTAATGGTGAGGTCATCCGGATATATGGAAATCATGTTGTGGTTTAACAATATTAATGTTATTAAGGCATCATAGTTTTGGTTGTCTATTTTTCTATAGGCATACAAATGACTTGTACAGTCAACAAAAAACTGCAATATTAAAATACAAAGGAGATGAAGCAGGAACACAGGTTGTGCCTCAGAAATGGAACAGATTGGAGGAAGTCCATCTTCATGTAAAGGTTCCACTTGTCTTGACTGGACTTAAGTTGGGAGAGCTCCAAAGCCAGTCATGGGGAGGTGAAGCAAAGTCTTGAATGAAATTCTTGCAGTGTTTCAGTTTTCTTGACCAAGCCAGAACAATGTCTAGTTACTTTAGCATATTTAGAAGACAGAAACAATTTTAAAAAAAATTGTGACATGATCTGTACAAATTAATAATCAAATATGGCTTTATCAAACAATTCCAACCAAGGTTTTAATATCAATCTTTTACTGATTTTGGTAACCTATCAGAATGTCACTGGTATGTAAACCAGAAGGTTTATCAAACTATACTATTGGTATCATGAACAAAATTAAAAATGAACAGTACATGTACCAGTATTGAGCTATACTTCTTGATACCTGTACTTGGCTGGACCAGTGATTACCACTTGGTACATATTGGTCTGACTAGTTTCCCTTTCACAACTTCATTAGTGGGACTTTTCCAGTATCTTGACTTTCGGACAATAAAACAAGGAGTCAAGGGACCTTGAGTTTGAGTTTTATAAAGTTGAAGTGACTTTTAATTTGATGAACTGAAGTTGAAGTTGAATTCTGCGTCTGGTAGGAAAAGAAAAAACCCTTCTAATGAAATGGGCCTCTCATGTTGCTGCCGTGAGAGTGTGATTCTATGGTCTGAGCCTAATTATGAGTCTATCGTAGCTACAATTTTAATGCATGATAAATGCTCTGATGTCAAAGAATCACAGTAGATACTTGTAGTGACTTTGGTTTATATTTTCTTTTAAAGCTATCTAACTTTGTCTCAGGGTAAAATTAATAATTGAGGAGGTTGAGAAGGAAGAAGCTGTGTTGCTAGAGGATCTGTATTCAATGGATAGGAAGTTTGCAGAGCATTACAATGTATGTAATAAATTTCATTTTTTATGCCTTTTTCTTTCTCTTTTTCATGTTGTATTTCTACTGATGGATTATTTGAGATTGGCATGCATGATTTCTAAACATCATTACATGCAAAGGTTTTGGAGCAGATACTGGGGGTTCTTATTAAGTTTGTCAAGGATCTGAAGCTGCAACATCAGCATCAATATGTAAGCCTACTCATGTGCTTCCTGAGATTATCATACAGTCGAATCATATTTCTTCAATGGAAGTATTTGCTAGTTCTCTTCTCCAAGACATTGGTGTTATCATATTAATTTCTTTTATGAAACAGGATGAGTTAAGGAAAACTTGGCTATGTAAGAGGTGTCAGACAATGAATGCCAAACTTAGGTCTGTCTATGCAGTTTTTATTATCCGTTCCTTCTTTTAAGATACCCCAAAATGTTTCCTACTTATTTGCATCTTGTGAACATTCAAACATATTATTTGAAGTACTGATCAGACCTATACGTACTAATTAACATTTACATACTGAACATTCAATTATTCAAACACGTATCTGTTATTTTTTTTCCTAATTTCAAAGGACAAGAGAGAATCATATGTTTAATGACATGACCATGGACTTAACTAAACCACATCTGAACTATTTCCATGATGTGTAGCAGCCTTCAATGGATGCTAAAACTAAACAGCTATAGCTCATAATGAAGTTAGCAAGTATTTAACAGACTGGGCTTAGGAGAACCTTGTTGTGCAGCAATGCTGATTATTTGTCTTTTTCAGTCTGTAAGAAGGTATTGTTCCAAAATATATAAGGCTCTTTTGGGGTAGAAATCTCTATCTTGTGTTTTACTATATAAGATCTTGCAACTGGGACAACCTATCGGTTTTCTGGAATTAGGTAGCTTAGGGAGATGGAAGAATACCTTGCTATGCTGAAGGGTGAAGTGTTTTTCTCAAAGTGTGCATATAACTTAACATGCCAACCGGGAGAAAACATCACCAGGTACATTTTTAGAACAGCTGTGGATAAAATTACAAAACAAACCATAAGACACTAATAATGAGATTTGCTGCACGTGTAACCCGTGTTAAAATGTATGCATATAATGTTACCAACTGTTGGTTTTTGGGTGTAAAATATAATATATGAAGTTAAATTATTCTATTGTGGAAAAAAGAGTAAACTTCCAAAATGCAGGAGAAATATAAAAGCTGCAGATGAATTTCGACTTTCTTATGAAAATGCAATTCTCATGAATCCTAACGTCTTTTATCACATAATATGAGAACCACTTTTCCAGCAGTTATCAAAATCATACTTGGTGTTTCGTCACTTAGTATGGGGGTTTTATTTATTTATTTGGCATGATTACCTACACTATTCCTTTTTGTATCATTAGATTTTGACCTTCTATAGTCTTGTATCCTTAGATTTCATCTCATGCGCATCGTGTATAAATCCCAAGTGTTTTTATTGACAACCTATTATCTACTTGCTAATTTTGACTGATACGCTAAATATAAGAATTATTACTGGGATACAACTCTATAGCCTTTCTTTGTTGCTTATCACCTCAGAATATTATAACACGCCAATATTTAATAGTTGTCAATATTAGAGTTCATGTGTTCTTATATATAAAATGGCAAAATCAACTCTAGTAGCATAGTTCTTTTCTATTCTTTTCTAATTTAAAGATTTCCATTTGGTTTTCTATATCTTCCACTTTTAATCTCAGTGTCCTTGAACATCTTCTCTTGCGTGACACTTACACCAAGGACTCTGTTCCAGCCCTCCGTAAGATAAGGTAATTGAAAAACACTTGTTCCATGCTTTGGTTGCAATGGCTTAACATTTACCTAATGAACTACCTCATCCTGCAGGAATTATCTAATAGAAGCGACAGAAGAAGCATCCATTGCTTACAACAAAGCAGTATGTTGCTCTCAGTCTATTAGAAAGTTTTCATTATTTTTTTGGTGCAAAAATTGAAGGAGAACCTTTTATTATATGTTGAAAATTAACATGTTGATTTGCTGGCAAAATACTTAATGTGAATTGTCATACTTTTTCTCTTGTTACTTGACAATTGTTCATATTTTGATTCCTGGTAACTAGAAACAAGACAAATTTAAACATCAATAGGCAGTAAATGGTGAACTAGTCAAAAGATACAATTGCAGCTGTCATAATGAAAGTTCTAGAATCACTTGGAAGAATAGTTGGACCCAACGAGCTACCAGATTATTTTATTCATCTAGGAATTAAAGGTATAGTTTGTCTGTCCAACATGCTTCTTTTACATGGTGCCAGATCCATGATTGTAACGATCCTTGCCAAATTTTGATTCCCATGTTGAGTGATCCACATATCATTTTTCTGCAAGAGAGACATGGAATCAACGATCCACATGCTGAGGATATAGGATTTTGTGTGTGACAGCCTTTTGTTTGAGTTATCGTAACATGCATGGTTGTAATAACTAATGAAGTATCAAAGAATGTTTGTTCTCATTAAGCCAATTATAAAATAATATATCACTCAACCTTTTCTATTGGTTCCTTTCATCATGTACTATTTCTATGGAATAATGATGACTACCTATGGTTGATTTGTACTTGTTTAGATTTTGTCTGTTGATATTAAGAGTGCAACCAAAGTCATGATTATATATCTTCAATCTCATTATGTTGCTTGTTGTTCAAGCATCTCTTTTACAATTTTCTTTCACTATGTTACCACATCTATGTTGAAGTGGATGCATATTCATATTTCTGTCAGGTCACCCGTCTACGCGAGTATCAAGGTGTTGATCCCCATTTTGATACAATTGCTAGACAATATCATGACATTGTAAAGGTACATGTTTAGTTTATTCTCTTTAAGTCTGATTGCTGCTAAATAACTTTAGTGGTAACTACAATTATTCTGATGCAGAAACTGGAAGGCATGCAATGGACGATTCATCAAGTTGAAATGGACTTAAAGCGCTCACTTGATCACTCATCCTCTTAATCTTTCTACACTCCTAGCAAGATTCCAGTAAACCTTATTTCTTTGGTCTTATACACATCTTCATCTTGATATTCAATCTTTCTCATTTATTGTTAATCATTTTTTTTCCCATTTGTTCTGGAAAGGTATTTTGTAGTGCATACATTTTCCCTTACTGAACTCTGTTCAACAATATCAATATCTTTTGTCTTACTTGCTAAAAATACTAATGACAGTGTTGTTACTAATCTTTGGAACTATTCATTCTAATTGATATGTATCCTAATCTGTATCTATCCTAAATTGGACTAATGTTGATATCTGTCCAAAATTTAATTTGTGTCCTTATGCATTAATATCTATATCTGATACGAATATGATGCATATCTAGATCATATTCATATCTGTTATAAAAAGATACAATCTTCAAATTTAGTATTTATCTACTATCTATGTTCGTGTTAGCATCCTCTGGTTAAAAGTGTATATGGATTTGGTTTTTCCATTATTAATCTGTTTTCACATATATATTTGGTCACTTGAATTCTGGTGGATTTTTCTATGCAACTGTACTCTTTTATCGTTGTCTTGTGCTGCTTGAGCTACTGTTTTTTTTATTTACCTTTTTACTATTTGTGCTACTGGTAAGTTGATTTATACACCAATAAATTCTGTCCCTTACATCAGGAATTGTAAATTCGGAACATGGAAGTAATAGACACATTGTCTGAACTTTTATGATTGAGTTGTTTCTTTTTACAGGACTTCATCAACCAAGGTAATTGCTACCACAAATTCTAACCAAAGGGAGAGACCTCAGAAGACTGGTGATGTTAAGGGGAATTGTGAAGAATCTAATGCTGGAGCTTGTAACAGTTTGCACTGTTCATCTGTTCACCTTATCCTATTAGCGGATTTACTACCGGTGACCTACAGCAGCAGCTTAGCATCATTGAGGTAGACTGTTGATCCATGTTTATAAGAGGCTTGCTGAAATCTGCCTCACAAACTAAGAGACATGCCTGAGTTGTCATTTTTTTCTCCTGGTGTGTTGTGGAAAGGTGTT